GCCGCTCTCCCGGCCGGGAGGAGCGCGGTTGGGAGCGGACGCGGGCCCGCTGGGGAGCTCCGCGGCGCTGCCGCTAAGGCAAGAGGAGAAGGATTAATGCCGTGCTCTTTCCCTGGGCTGTGAGGAGCGGGGTGAGCCCAGTAGTGCCGGCCGTGGCGCTGCAGCAGGCGCTGCGAGGAGGGTGGGTTTTTTTTCCCGGTCGGGCGGGTCCCAGCTCGTTCAGCTCCCCTGGGGCGTCGGGGTGCCGCCGGGTGGGACGACTGCAGCGTGGGGAAACGGCACCTGTGGAGGCTGCGGGAGCGCTAGCCTTTGGTGGGGTACTGCCCCAAGTGTTTCGAAGCTCGCCTGTTCTCGTGGAAATAAAGCGTCGCTTAGGGCCAGCCGTAGAAGAGCTCTCTGCTCCCCAGCCGTACGTTAGGCCCGCGGTGAGGAGTACCCCCGCGCCATCGCCCCTGCTGATGGAAAAGCCCTATCCTCCTTCTGGATGTAGGTTGTTTGTGCACCTGGACGCTAGAAACTACTAGTAGGCAGTAACTCTGCTACTGTGCAGTAAAGAGAAAGGAACTTTTAATTCCTTTTGAATTTACTACTGGTGGAACAGTAGTAGAAAAACCCAACAAGATAAGCCTACTGAAAAGACTGTCTCTAAGACCCTTGCTGATGACTGTGTATGTCAGTTTTGGAAGTATTCTCCACGCAGTTAGTCTGGTTTCCTCGTGTAAAATTTATTGTGCCCTTTAATCACCACAGTTTCTTGCTCCTTTTTACTGTTTTAGAGCCAACTAAGTAAAGAGAATGAACAAGGGATTCTGTTATGATATGCATCATTAACAGGCTTGTTTATTAAACTCTTAATCAGTAACATCTGCTTGCTTACTTGTTCACTGAAGACAAATAGTAATTTGGTTGCTGGAACATTTATAGCTGCTTGAGACGTGCAGTAACGAAGAATTATCTCTGACTTTTTGGTCTGAATTTACAGCGAACACAACATGCCACAATGCTGTACTTAAAATAATTTCCAAAAGGAGGCATGTGCAATAAATTGTTAATGAAGTCTTTTACTCTCTTCAGAAATAAAAAGGTTGGTACAGCATCATCTTGTGCTTTAAGACAGAATGCAAAGCAATTCCTTGACACATTTTTTAACTTAACATTTTCTGGCCAGAAAGAACATATCTCATCATTTTTTTATGTGTGTACCATCTCATTTGGCATTGTTACACTGCAGAAGCCACAGAATTGAAGCAACCGTATTCTGTAAAAGAACTGTAATTTGTCTTATGGTTTGAAAGAGGAAAAAGAGATAATGATAATCCACATACAGTACAGTGATAAAGAAACCTAACAAGAAGGTGAAGCATACTCCTCTGTCTCTGCATTTTTTCTAAGAGCAGTCAACAAAATAAATCAATATCAAGAAAAACATTTCATTTGCCAACAAGCGTTCATAGCCATCCACCAAATTGCAGTTTGTTTGGTAAATAGACTCTGGAAAGGTAATCTGATGAAAGAGAAGTTAAAACTTGAATTTCAGCCTTCAGTTTAGATGCTGCCATAATTTCCAGCTAAAAAAAGAACAAATTAATGTGTGATGCTGTAACAGCCTGATCCAGGCTTAGGTGATTATTTAAGTAAGAATTACACTTGTTGGATGTGCATGTAGAACTGTAAAGTTAGTATTACTAGAAATGGTGCTGCAAAATCCCTGTCACTGAGCTGAGATTAATTTTATTGTATGTTTATGTGTTCTCTAGTGTGTATCTCACAGTGACACAATTTGTAAGATGAGTATAAACAGGAAGGAGAAGGTACGCAATACCTTTTCTTCCTTTCTAACCATTTTACACAATATATGCCTGCATTGAAATATATGCTTTAAAAGCTACAGGCACGATTAGGTCTAGTACCGAGTAAGTAACTGCTGTAAGCATTCCCCTACTTGTAAAGATGTAATATATTCTGTAATACTTAGGAAAGCAGTAAAGTCCCATGGGATCACTGGATGACTAATGGCAGGAAAGCTTAAAATGCTGCCAGTTCTGGCCTGCGAGCCGTTGAGGCTCACTGATTCAGAGACACATCCCAGGGCATGGGCTTTCTCAATCTTGCCTTCTTGTAGGGCTGCAAAACCTTAGTGGTTCTGCCCTACTAAGAGTGTGTCATCATAATGAGGAACAGGATTGTGGACGATAGGATTTGTCCTGTGGGGAGCAAGAAATAGGAAACAACAGGTTTATACATACTTCTTTTTTCCACATTGGCTGACAAGCAATGTAAGGTCTCTTTTGTATACTTGCTAACTTATTTTGATCTTGCTTTGTAAATGGAATCAGGACATCTTTGCGTATATTTAATCTGAAAAGAAAATAAAGTTGTTAAGTTTTCTCATATACTTAAAAAATATTTATTCCAACTTCTTTCTTTATATTAAGCAAAAATAATGTATGAAAAGAATAATGGACTTAAATGTCAGTTGTGTTTTCATGCAGTAAGTCAGACTGCATTTCCTGTCTATGAAACAGAATAATTCTTCTGTTTCTTTTGGGGAAGTAACTAACCTCTCAAGATCAGATGGAAGGAGACCAAGCCACTTTATAGATGGAACGGTGAGATGATGGGCCTCAAAAGACATTGACTAAAATAAGAAAGGTCAGCTATAACATTCAGTGACTTTTAGTTTAAATTATTTGAGATATATGCCTTCCGAGGACATGGTCAGGTTTTATTACAAAGATAATTAGGTATTTTCACTATGAGAATGGTATAGGAGAACATAGTGCAACCGAAGCTTACCATATCCCCTTGCTGGAAACCGTCGCTTTGCTAAGATTTGTGCCCTTCAGCCTGTGACATTCTAGACTAGTCCAATTTAGGCTGGTCTAGTCCAAATGGTTTTATTTTTTACAGTCAGTATGAGTCTGACTGTCAAAAAAAAAAATTAAGCTGGGAGGAGCAACGACAATCAAATCTGGAAATTTCAGATATTTTCTGCTGGAAAGTACCACATCATATAAAAATAGCCCAAACAAAGGTTAATCTGGTCCAGCATCATGGCTACAGTAAATATCTTAGGGAAAAAGTGTAAAAACAAATAAGCAATTAATGATACTTTTCAGAATACTCCCCCTGCTCCCAACGGTTTGTGACTCCAGTGCTCTGAGCCAGAAGTGGTGGTAGTGTAATACTTGATTTTGTCAGGTTGCTTTTAGAATCCATGAAAACTTTTGTCATCTACAGCACCCTACAGCAAAGTATCACAGTTAAATTACATATTGTGTAAAGGAATACTTCCATTGTTTGTAATGAACTTGACATATTCTAGTTTCATTTGATATACCTGTTGCTCTAACTGAACAAAATAAACTTTCTAAGGAACCTGACAATTTAATTTAATCCTGGAAGACAGTCTTTTATCAGTTTACACACCTTTGTAGGAGAGCTGAAGGTGTGACAGATCACCTGAAAACTTGGGACTTCTGTCTCCCTGGATCTCCTTGAGGCATATGTTAGGACATATATTTGAAGTCTGACATCATCGATATCTGACAGTTTTCTGAAGTTCATTTTATTTGTTGTTGGTGGTTGGTGGGGTTTTTTTGTTTGGTTTTGTTTGTTTTTTTTTACTTTGGATGTTCTTTCTCTATTGCTCTACTGAACAACTAGTTCACCCATCTGCTTCTGCCCTCTGCCTTCACCTTAATCTGCCTGTCTTCCATATTGTCTTCCTGTACCTCATCTTTTAGCAATGTGATATAATAATGCCTTCTGGTTCCCTTTGCCTCTTCTTCCATAATGTTCCACGCTAACACATGTATCCATAAGCAAATTCTCACCCCGGAACAAAACCTTTACCAACATAACATGATTTTGCAGAGAATCAGCCATTTCACAAGTTAAGTCCTCCTCCTCCCAAGATCCCTTCCAGCCTTCATTTCTCTTCTAAGGCAGAAACAAAGCAAAACTGAGAACACTTTTCTATTTGAACTGCCTGTGCAGCAGGGAAAAACTGTGAAATATAGTAAATGAGACACCTGTCATTGTTATCCAGTTTCTTTTTGTTGCAGGAAGAAGCCGTTTCTGCAAATACACAAGGCCTAAAAACTGTGTCTTTGTGTTGAATCAAAATGATAGTAAAAAAAAAAAAGGCAGTAACCATTCTAACAAAGGCTATAACGTTTCATACATTCCAGCTTCAAGGCTGGGCTACAAAACAATGAATCTGAAATAGAAAAATTATACTCACCACAGATCCATATTTGTAGATGCACATTATTTCTACACCTAGGTTGCAGAATACCAAATGTCAAGTGTCTGTTTATCTGCACACTGGGCATGTTTAAGAAGACTGCATTAAGAATTCAGTTTTATGGCATAACAGTTTATGGCTTTATGGTTAGTGAGGTTCTTTATAGTTTACAATTATTTTTAGAATATGTCAAAATAATCAGAATTTGAACATATGTCATCTTTATACAGTTAAATGTTTCACGCTGTCTGTGCAGTCAATTCAAAACCAAGGATAATCAGCTCTTGCACATTGTCCAACATCTATCATCTTTATCCTGTGTAGTCTGTATGTCTTAATATTACTGCTTTGAGCAGCTGCTTCTCATTTTGCAGCAATCTCCCTAATTTCAGGTGGGATCAGTGTAGGTACATAAGAGATTTTCTACATTTCGTGTACGTGAATTCAGGTTCTGAATTCAAACTAAGGCATACACACTCAAATACACAGAATCTCTCATAAAATGAGGGAAATTTCAGACCTGCCACTGATGTAATAGAATAGCACATCCAGAATGTGATGGACTTGGTTTAGGATTAACTTTATTCCTGCTGGCATCAGACTGGTAGTTTCTAGCTTTCACTACTGTAAACTATTGATGTGAGTGCTGAATTATTAATATAAATGTATGTTAACTACTTTAAAACCAATAAAAGACTCCCTTTGCTCAAACATAGTATTTTCTTCATGTTTGTC